AACGGGTCAAGCCTTTTCCCTTGGCCTGTCCCTCCATCCCTTGTCCAAAGCCCCTCTCCAGGTTTCCTGGAGCCCCTTTAGGCACTGGACCTGCTCTAAGGCCTCCCCAGAGCGCAGCAGAGGGGCAGGATCCCCTCCCTGAGCTACTGCTCACGCTCTGGGGGTGCACCCAGCACACGGGGGGTTCTGGGCTCAAGCGCACACTGAAACCGGGTCATGGGGAGCTTCTTGTCAACCAGTACCAAGCCCTTCTCCTCATGGCTGCTCCATCCTGTCTGCCCCAGCCTGCAGTTGTGTGGTTATTTGATATCCGCAGGGAAGGGTCACAAGAGTCTTCTGCTGTCTGCAGCATGAGGAAGTGGGGAGGAGCAGGAGTACGAGATCTGCATCTGCTGAGGAGTTACCTCCTCATGGCTTTACACACCACCCATCAAGACGAGGCGAGGTCTGGCTGCACCCACAGCCAGTGCTGCTGCGCCCGGTGTATGATGCACAATGGTTACGGAAGCGACAGCTTCCTGGCCCCGAGCACAGTGACAGGGAAGCTGCACGTTCATTATCATTTTGATGATAGAATTATTTAGGTGACTTTGTTAGGTAGAGGCTAATGACACACATCCTGAAGGTGTGCATTCCCTATGAAATGTCTCAGAGCTCATTGTTCAACTGGGTGCCCCAAGAAACAGCCAACAAAGACAGGAAATTAGGCCGCCTTTTGGAGCGGTGAAACATGACTGTGTTGACTTGCCACAAAGCTACACACAGAAGAGTTTTCGATCTATACAAAGCACCCCTTAATTCCAACGTGCACAAAATTATCTGCTTTTAAGACTAGTAATCAAAGTTAGTACCATGGTTTTTTGTGGAGGACAGAGTGTTAGTTTGCCAGCACCAAACCATAGACAGAGTTCTCTGACCCCACTGTCAGAGCAGCTTTAAACACAGACTGCCTGGCTAAATTACACCTGCTTACTGTATGCAACTACTATTATGTATTTCTGCAATAACTATTCTCAGGCTGATTTAAACTTCTTGCCAACACACTTAAGACAGACCCAGCAAGTCACTCTTGGGGCAAGCCTTCCAGTACTGCGCATGTAAAATGCTTTTCCTCAAACGATAAAACAACGGTTCACTCTATTTACAGAAGTCATACTTCATCAGACAAAAGAAATCTGGTAAGGTTTGCTCTACTTCTACTGAATTTAAAGTCTATTTGGACAAGCAGCACCTGATTTACAATACTCCTGTAACACAGCTATCGGGTAAAACTAGTGCTATGCCGTGGC